TGCTGAGTCTCCTGCCCGCGGTCCTGCCGGGGGTGCTCCTGGTGCTGCTGGAGGTTCTGGAGCTGTTGGAGGTGCTGCTCGAGCGGGTGCTCCTTCTGGGGGTGCTGGTGCTGTCCCTGCTGTGTCTGGCGTCGCCGCGCGGCCTGGACCGTACTTCGTTCCACTCCTGTAGCAGGTTCTTGGTCTTCCACCTTCTACAAGTCCTCCTCCTTCTTTAGAGTGTCCACAGCCTATCCTGTCACAGCAATAGTTACAGCCTGCCTCCCCACTACCTGCTCCCTCTCCTTACAGTGGTCCTACTAGAGGTCTTGCTGAGCGTCGTGAGCCTGCGTCTTGTCCTGCGTCGCCTGTTCGTGCTGCTCGCGCTAGTGGTCGCGGTTCGCGTCAGCGTCCTCCTCCTGTCCCTGGCACGCACCGGATGTCTCTGCGTCCGTCCACTGCTCCTCTGCGTGCCCCTTTGCCTTCTCCTCCTGAGTCTTCTCTTCCTGCTCTTGCCGACCCGGAGTCGGACTCTCTTCGTGCTGCTAGTCCTACTGTCACGCGTCTCCTTGCTACTGTCGTCACTGACCCTTCTTTCGAGTCTACTGCTGCTTCTGCCCTCGTTACTGAGCTCGTCGACTTTGCTGCTCACTGTCGCCTAGACTACGCTGCTAGTCTCGTCGCTGAGTCTGCGTCTGTCTGTCCTCCATCCGTCGGGGGTGAGTGTGCCCTTGGCACGGACGTTCTTGAGGACAGGCAGGAGGAGTTCCAGTGTCTGGCAGCTGCTTCACCTCATCTCGTGTCCGTACTGCTTACCCCTGAGGGAGACCCGGATGCACTTGACATCCCGACTCCGCGCTCTTACGCGGAGGCGATAGAGGGTCCCTACTCCTCTCAGTGGCAGGCAGCTATGGATGCAGAGATGGCTTCCTGGAAGTCCACAGGCACCTACGTTCACGCTGTCCCCCCTCCTGGGGCGAACATCGTCAGTGGCATGTGGATCTTCATGGTGAAGCGGCCGCCTAGTTCTCCGCCTGCCTTCAAGGCGCGTTACGTGGCTCGTGGCTTCAGTCTGCGGCAGGGAGTTGACTTCTTTCAGACCTTCTCCCTCACCCCGAAGATGACCACTCTTCGGGTACTGCTGCACGTTGCTGCTTACCGTGACTACAAGCTGCACTAACTCAACTTTAGCACAGCTTTCTTGCAGGGCAGCCTGCACGAGGAGATCTGGCTGCGCCGCCCACCTGGCTTCACTGGGTCTTTCCCTCCTGGTACCCAGTGGAGTCTTCGGCGTCCAGTCTACGGTCTCCGCCAGGCGCCACGTGAGTGGCACGACACACTGAGGACTACTCTTGCGGCTCTTGGGTTTGCTCCTTCTACTGCCGACCCGTCGCTGTTTCTGCGCACCGACACCTCTCTGCCGCCGTTCTACATCCTCGTGTACGTCGACGACTTGGTCTTTGCCACAGCGGACACTGCTGGACTCGCCTACGTGAAGTCCGAGCTGCAGAAGAGACACACGTGCACAGACCTGGGTGAACTGCACAGCTACCTTGGCTTGCAGATCACCCGGGACAGAGCACGCCGCACCATTACCCTGACTCAGTCACACATGGTGTAGCAGGTCCTTCAGCGCTTCGGCTTCACGTACTCCTCGCCTCAGGCCACTCCTCTGCCTACTCGCCACTCACTCTCAGCTCTGCCTTCGGATGAGTCCGTAGAGTCGATTGGCCCGAATCCAGAGCTTGTTGGCTGCCTCATGTTTCTGATGACCTGCACACGACCTGACCTTGCATACCCTCTTAGCATTCTTGCACGCTATGTTGCTCCTGGGAGACACCGACCAGAGCACATGGTTGCAGCGAAGAGGGTGTTGCGCTACTTGTGCAGTACGTCAGGCATGGGGCTAGTGCTTGGAGGGCGGAGTCCAATGGTCCTCACTGGGCACGCAGACGCTTCTTGGGCTGACGACCAGGCTACGCAGCGGTCGTCACAGGGTTACACCTTCAGCCTTGGTTCCGGCTCTGTCTCGTGGCGGGCTACTCGCTCGTCTTCTGTTCTCGGCTCCAGTTGTGAGGCTGAGATCTACACCGGGGCCATGGCTGCACAGGAGCTTCGCTGGCTCACCTACCTGCTGACTGACCTTGGAGAGCCGCCTCGTTCTCCTCTAGTTCTGTACGTAGACAACAAGGCCATGCTGGCCTTGTGTCGAGAGCAGCGTCTGGAGCACAGAACGAAGCACCTTGCTCTCCGCTACTTCCTTGCTCGTGAGCTACAGCAGCGTGGACAGTTGCGGCTTGCGTACGTGGCCTCTGAGGCCAACACTGGTGATGTTTTCACCAAGGCACTTGCGCCTTGTGATCATCAGCGCTTCTGTACTCAGCTTGGACTTGTTCCTGTCTTGCCTCACTTGCTCACTTCTTGACCTTGCTTGTACTGTCATATATATATACTCTTGCTCTTGCTTACTTAGCCTCTTATATATATATATATGCTCCTGCATGTGAACTGGCCTTCTGGCCTTGAACTTGTGCTCAGAATGTGTGGTGACTTTGTGATCCACCCTGAGCTTTGCTTTGCTTTGCTTGACTGGTCTTGTGACCCCTTGTTCTCCCCCACTTTGCCTATGGGGGTGTGTCAGAACTTTGTAGCTTATGCTGTTGTGTAGGCTATAGTGGGGTAACCCATATGGGGTACACATTTCTAGGGTTGCATACTTGTATCACTTTCATTCCATTGTTCATCCATTCTCGTTTCAATTCTCACATTCTGATCTAGAGTAGCCCTAAGGGAAATGTGCCCCCTCAGAGCACATGGCTAGCTAGGACCTTTCGTATTCAACTGTATTCCTATATAAACCATTGTGCCGCATTGGAATAGTTACTTCTGTCGAGATTCAAATCTCCCTCTTTTGATAGGGTCCGTACCCGACTAAGCAAACATTTTGCTTCTCCATTCTCAAGGGATCAATCTGAGACGATATTTTAGAGTCTGTCATCGCAGATTGTAACACAATGCACCGGGTTTCGCTTCCCAACCTGGTGCACCACTCCGTGCCAAGGCGTGCCGCAACACGTCATTACAAAAGTGACTAAAAAAACGTTTTGTAAGAGTTAGATCGCTGAGGGCGGGTCACGTTTGAATGAACCTGACACGTTTAATGCGGTTCGGTGCTCTAGTGAAGGTTTGAAGACGATTCCTAGGTTTCATCGAGGGTAATTGTATTTTATCATTTTTGGACGTACCTGACTGCATTAAGCGAACCAGGTTCATTCAAACCTGACCCGCCCTAATTGAAGTTTGAGCGGCTAATAGGAATCTCAGAATGTGGCAATAAAATTCAGTAGTGTAAGACATTTCGTTTGCTGTAGAGTGGTGTCGGCACTGTACACATGATGCCCAACTACTGCGCGCGGATTTGCCGCGTCATTTTCAGAAACTCTGCATCTGTGCTTTTTTTCCTAGTGAGTTGCACCCAGGGTGTAGGCACCCGGATCAACTTGCAGTTGGGTGAGAAAATGCCAAAGTATGAATCTTAGGCGCAAAACAAACCATGTTGATCCGGTTCGTTTTTGTTTCTTGGCTAGAAACAAACATAAACCCGAAACCCAGAACTAGCAACAACACAGGCCCACCAGCACTGTTTTGGAAAAAAAAAACGAGTTGCAGCCTGTGTTTTTTAGAAGCACCTCAACACCCTGGCGAAATGGAACGAACTGGGCGGCATTTGTAAAACATTTATAGGCCCGGAGCACAGCCTAATTAGGGAAGACTCAAACGAGAATCAAGTGTACACCCCTCGAATACAAGCTATTTGTACTGTTTTGGCCGCAAGCGCAGTCGTTATTCTCGGCCGTTCGGGGTCCCTTCTGAAGGACCTGCCCTGCCTCCAGCCCAGGTTTTCCAACAAACTTCTCGTGCCATTTTGATCCATCTAGGGTTTGAGAAAACAGGATGCGAGGAATAGGTTGTTGTTGTTGTTTTTTTTTTTTTTCTCTCCGTTCAACCAAACCTGCAATGTAGCTGCAAGGAGACTGTTTTCTCAGCAGAATTTCCCTTTTTGTTGATTAGGGCGGATCATAATTTTTGTTCCAGGTTCGTTTTGAATAGTTATCCTGGTGCGCAATGGTCTAAGGGCGGGTTTCTATCCCGTGTCAGACATCAAGTCATGCGGCCTTAGTTTCCAATTTGTCTCTTCCGAACTTCCAACCGCCCCCAAAACGAGCCACTTTGGACCTCCACTTCGTGTCAAACCTAATGTTTGACACGGGATAGAAACGCGCCCTAATGCCGTTAAATTTGAAAACCGTTCCCAAACGTAGTTGAACGTATTCAACCACGTTCAACGAGCCTAGAACAAAAAAGTATGACCCGCCATTACAAATCATCCGTGGAATCCCTCTGTAGCCCGGCCCACACATGGGATCGGTTTCGTCCTGAATCGCTCAACGGAATTCGGGGTGACGCACCCGTTTTGCCTGGGACGACGCAGGGGGGTGACGACCGACCGAGCGTCGGGGCGGCCAGCTCCCTCGCGTGAGTCCCCCGCCAGGCTGGCGCGGGGCGGGGCTCTGCCCACGCCCCCCGCCCCGCCCCCCCCACCCCGAATTCCTACAGAACCTCACGTTGCAGCCGAGGGGTGGCGAACTCGCGCGTGAGCGACGAGGGGCCTAGTTACCCCTTCACGGAGGCGAACATTCGCTTCGCGTTGCCCGCGAGGCCCTAGTAACCCTCTCGGGCTGCCCTCGCCGGGCAGGCGGGTTGGTTGCGAAATTCAAAGGGCCCGACCCCACCCTCGTCAACATCGCTGGCCCCTCGGGAGGGGACACGTGGCTCGCCCTGGCCACCCCGACCACCCCCACGCACGGCCCACACAAACCACCCACCTCCGCCCCTCCGAACCCCGCCCTCGAGGGCATGCCCGGTACGGGCCGAAGCCGGAGGCTCGCCCTCGGCCACGACGACCTGCCTCGTCCGCCGAGCTGCATACTAGGCGACCGACGGCCCACGCCCATTTCTTGATGGGGGGTCCCACTCCATCCGTCATTTCTCCTTTCCAACTTCGCTTTCCGATTTCCTCTGCCTCCCTGTCAGCTCTCCGCGCTCCTCCCCAAACCTTCCGTGATACCGACCGTGGTGTTAGCATGGCGACCAGTAGGATAGCACTGCCTGCGACTGAATTCCCCCTCCACGTGCCAGTGGGCATCGGTGGGTACGGGGTGACGCTTGAGATGAAGGACTACGAAGTCCTTCGCGACGAGAAGGCCGAGTTCACAGAACCTTGCTTCGACCTCGGCCTCGCGTGAGCGCGCATCCCTAGGTCGCGTTGTTCGTCCTTGTCCTGTGCGTTTTTGTCGGCGTCCTTTCTAGGTCGACGCTGGCCTTGTCGTTTTTCCGCGTGGTCGACGATATCCGTCTGTGATGGACGTTTTGGCGCTGCGTCGTCCTATTAACTAGTTTGCCTGTCCTCGACCATTGGCCCTACGTCGGTGACGTCCGTCATGCTGCCGGCGACATCGCCGTCGTGCGAAACCTTGGTCCGAGTCCGCTTGTCTTGCTGTCCGCGCTTTACCCCGGCGCCCGGCATGGATTGTAGCTCACCGCGCAAGTGTTTCGCTCCCGCCTTTTCGCCCCCGGTTGTCCCAGGTACGAGCTCGATCGTCTGGGAAAAGGCGACAGCATGATCCTGATCCGCGGTGCGAGTCTTCGCGCTGCCAGGACGGCGTCGAAGGCGGACCATCTGATTTTCGGGTCGGCCTTCGGCTTCGAAGCCCTCGCCACCCCCCTGTGCACCGGGTGAGTGTTCCGCGCCCGTGAGGTTTGATCCACGCCGACCGCGTTGCTTGTTGTTCCCGGACAGAACCCTGAATGTCTCCGTCGTGCTTGTGTGGGCAGTGGCGGACCTCTTCCCGGCAGGCACTGCAGCGTCCTGCTTGTTGTGCGCCATGGCGACCTGCTTTTGCCCGACGAGGAGGAGATCGGGACGTTCTACCGCCACCTCGACCCCAAAACCTCCTCCAAGCGGCACGAGGAGGAGGCGGCCAACGTTTTGAGGTGGGACAACGTCGACGGCTAGTCGCGCCGCTCCTTAACGGCGTTCATGCCCCCTTGTCTAATGGCTCTTTTCCATCTCGTAGCGCAGGTTTTTGGGCGAATGCGTGAAGGCGGAGTTGAACCGTGGGGGAAGGCAGTGGACGGCTGCGCCTCCTTCCGCCAAAGTCCTCTCCGAACGTCTAGAGAGTCTTGCCGCCCTCATCCGTGATGTGAGTTTCCAACGTCCATGTCGCCTTGTCGCCTGGGCTATCGTCGTCCAGGCGTCGACTCACCCTTTTCGTCGGCGCCATGTGCTTCGGATGTTGATGCAAAAATTGTCCGACATCCTCAAGGAGGAGGTCGCCGGCACGGGGCTGTTGGCGGTCAACGCGTTCGCGTGGTCGTTGGAGCATCTGGACGACGCGCATCGCAGCTACGATCCGCTCATCGTCGAGAACCCGAAGATGGCCGGCTTGAAGGCGCTCCGACTGGAGCTGCTGCACCACGCGGAGAAGGCCGCGTCAAACAAAGGGGAGGCGGCGTCGACCGTGGCCCGTGGCGTCAGAACCGCCATCGCTCTGGGTGGGGAGGAGGAGCACGAGAGGGAGGACGTCGAGGGGGGCGGGGAGCACGACGGTGGCTCGGAAGAGGAGTAGGACGTGGAGCGTGAGGAGGACAACGTGGCTGTCACCGGCGAAGAGGAGGCAGTACAGTTCGCCGGTGAGAAGGTTGCGGATAAGAGCGGCGGCAGCGGACCCAAGTTGGGCAAGAAGGCCCGGGGCAGCAGTGGCTCGACCCCGACTAGGATGGCATCAAAGGCGGCTATCGAGCGTCTGAAGGCGGCGGAGAGGGAGATCAAGAAGCTGAGGGAGGAGAAGCTGGTGGCGGAAAAGAGGCTGGAGTTCCAGACGGCCCGGAACGACACGATGTACGGCGTGGTCACCTCGGCCGTGAACAAGCTCACTACAGTCGCCGAGGGCGTGACCCATCTCGAGCAGACGTCGGGGAGGAGCATCCAAACGGCGGTGGATGCTATGAGGGCGGTCGTGCAGGAGGCGGTGAGCTATCGCGGCTCCACCCTAGAATTCATGAACACGCAGTGGCTGCCCACCGTGCAGGCCCTGCACTTGATGGCTACTGCTGCACAGGGTAGGCGACGGGAGGACGACCTCCTGCTGCTTCGAGGTGTGGCAGATGCTCTTGGCCAGAAGATCAAAACAGTCGTGTCTGCCGAGGTGAAGGCCGCCATGGAGGGCGAGGCGCAGCGGATCGCCGCTGCCGTGACTACGAAGGTCGTCCAACAGCTTAGGGACGACCTGGTGAAGGCGGTCACCTCCGCGACCCAACAGGGCATTCGCACCGCCGGGTTTAGCCTCCTCCCAACTGCTCTCGCGTCGGTGATGCACGGCGGTCGCGCAACTGCCGAGGAGAGTGGGCCGGCCCCAAGGCAGTCGGGGAAAAGGGTCGCCGACAAAAAATCCCTGACCGGCGACCAGACCAGCGGCTCTAAGCGAAGCAGAGGACCTGCGGTGAAACGCGGTGTGGGCGTGGATCCTCCTGCCCCTCCGTATGTTCGTATCCCCGGCGTCCACGACTTGCTGAAAGATGGACTTGGCGCGCGACCGAGCGAAGATTTTCGACAGGTCGACGTCGCGCTCCAGGATCCTCAGTCGGTGGTCAGGAAGACCGGTGGGCAGCCCCTGGGGGACAAGCAGCCACAGGCCCCGACCGATCCGCCGAGCGCACATGACGCGCCACCGAGCTGCGACCAGGTGAGTCTGGCCGACGAGCTCATGGGAGAGGCATCCGTGGTCGCGAAGCAGGGCTGGCAGCCAACGGCGGACCAGCATCCACACCCCGAGGCCAGTCCGGCGACTGCACAAGGCGCTCGACCGAGCGGCGGCACGGCCCAGATGGCAGACGACATGCACGTCGCAGCGGTGGTCGGCCAGGCGCGCGGGGAGCCCGTTGCGGTCCAGCATGTTCAACCCTCGACGAGTACGCCGACTGCGCGACCGACCGGCGTCACAGCGCAGCTGCCCGACGACCTCCTGCGCCCCGCAGCGGTTGTCGGACAGCAGGGGGGGCCGCCCGGTGCGGGCCAGCATCTTCACCCGTCGACGAGCACGCCGACCGCACAAGACGCGTGTCCGGCTGGCGTCACGGCGCTGGTAGACGAGCTCTTGCGCCCAGCAGCGGTGGTCGGACAGCAGGGCAGGCCGCCAGGTACGGGCCAGCATCCCCCCACCGCGACGAGTCCGGCGACTGCACAGGACGCGCGTCCGGCTGGCGCCACGGCGCTGGTCGACGAGCTCTTGCGCCCAGCATCCGTGGTCGGACAGCATGTCCAGCAGGCTGCCGGTGCGGCCAGCTTACCCGTTCATGGGGCCATGGTCGCCGCGGAACCGATCCCGATCCCAACGGCTGTCGAGTCTCGGGCGGTCGAGGCTCTAGTCACTCAAAAGCCATCGTTCGACGAGTATCTGAAATGGCTCGAGGATCAGGGTCAGAAAACCCCGGTAATTCCTCCGACTCACAGCAACCAGGCGGTCGACCAAGGAGCAGAGGCAGCGAACGTCGAGGCGGCGACTGCAGGGCCGAGTGGCTCAACGGTGGAGGCGGCTGTGTGGAGAGCGGCGGAAGAGGCCGGCGGGGTGGACGAAGAGATCCTCGCCAGCATCGTGATGCCGGACCCGGAAATTCAGGTCATGCGGGAAAAACTACAAGCAGCAGCTCCCACCGTGGGAGCGCAACAGGGTGCACCAGCCGCCTCGACTGCTCCTGCGGAGGACCATAGCGCGGCTGGCGCCAAATCCCCCCCGGCCACAACCAGTGAGGTCCGCGATGGGAAGCAGAAGCGCAAGGGCAAGGACAAGGCGAAGGGCGGCCCGGCGAAGGTCGGCTCTTCCAAGGGGACGTCCAAAGCGGCCGCGCAGGGTCGGAAGGGTTCAGGCGTCCGCGTTGACCCTTCAAATGGGCTGGCCGCCTCGGAGATGAAGTTTGGGAAGAAGAGCCGTTACATCTGCCGGTCGATGGACAAGTCCGAGGCCGCCTACTGCATCGCTGTCGCCGTTTCGTCGTTCGACAGCTTCGTCAACGGCGTGGTTCTCGAGGAGTTCGGTGGGGTCAAGGAGGAAGTGATGGCGCAGTATAAGGCGGACTGGAATGTGGCGCGATTGATTCCGGGGGGCATGTGGATGGTCATGTGGAGCCGAGGGGCGAACGTCTTCCGCGACAGGTAAGCTTGGCGAATGCTCAATTTGGTGCTCGTTTCGGTCGGTTCGCGTGGGGCGGTCGGTGACGGTGGGTATTCCTGCTGTGTTTCGCAAGTTCCAACAGGTGGTCGCGGAATACAACAGGATAACCGGAGCCGACCGCGCAGCTCTCATGTTGGCTCTTCGCCCGGCGGTGTGGTTCGGCGACCTTCCGGAGTCGACCGAGCCCGAGAAGGCCGCGAAGAAGAAGGTGGCGAGCGACATGATTGCACGCGTTTCGATGTGTGCCGCCTTCGCACCGGTGGCCGCGAAAGTGACGCCCATTCCGGGCGTCGGGTCGGAGCGGTTGTCCGAGATCCTCGCCGGTACTGCGGCCGCGGTGTGGTGTTTTTCGGAGACCAATGCCACGGCGGAAGTAGCGGCCGGCGAAGGGGGGGCGGCAGCGACCATGCGCGGAGCGTCCAACGAGTTCGCGAGTCGGTGTCGGACCGTCATCGAGGCGGTGCTTCAGCGGGCGGCCTCCCGGGTGGTCGTCGTAGGGGAGGTCGCCGAAACGGTGACGAAGGACCTGCAGGCGGCTGTTGTGAGGTCGCTGCCTGAGGTCGGAGAGGAGCGCGAGCACGACGAGCTGATCGCCCGTCTCATGATAGAGAACCTCGCCTTCTGGGGGGACTGCAATGTCGGAGGCCCGAAGCTCAAGGCTCGCGGCGTCGATTTGCCTATCGACCCCCAGATGAAGATTATCATTCGGGACAGGGGGACGAGGGGGCAGCAGCACAAAGGGAAGCAGGTCGCCGACGCCTAGGTCGACGAAGGCTGGCCCGCCTGCTCGTAGCATGGTCGGCGTGGGTGCAAACTGTCAGATTATTATAGCTGATGCATGTTTGTAGGCTATAGTGGGGTAGCACATATGGGGTACAGTTTGCTAGGGTTGTATTTGTACCCAACTCTGACTTAGTCAATTCATTCCTGTTCATTCATTTCACATGGTATAGAGCGGGTTCCCTGTGGGAACTTCGCCTAGGGCCCACCGAAGCGCGCCCCGAGGCGCGCGATCCTTTTTTTTTAGCGACCCCCCCGAGTCGCCCTTCCCCTGCGTCCCCGCCGCCCTTCGTTCGCGGCCCCGCCGTCCAGTCGCGGCCCCGCCCTTACGTCGCGGCCCCGCCCTTACGTCGCGGCCCCGCCACTAAGTCGCGGCCCCGCCACTAAGACGCGGCCCCGCCACCCAGTCGCGGCCCCGCCGCCTACTCGGACGCGGCCCCGCCGCCTGCTAAGACGCGGCCCCGCCGCCTGCTAAGACGCGGCCCCGCCGCCTGCTAAGACGCGGCCCCGCCGCCTGCTCAGCCGCGGCCCCGCCGCCCTCTACGACGCGGCCTCCGCCGCCTGCAGACGCCGCGGCCTCCGCCGCCTGCTCAGCCGCGACCCCGCCGCCCGCTACGACGCGGCCTCCGCCGCCTGCTCAGCCGCGGCCCCGCCGCCCTCTACGACGCGGCCTCTGCCGCCTGCTCAGCCGCGGCCCAGCCGCCTCCTACGACGCGGCCCCGCAGCCTGCTCAGCCGCGGGTGCTTCCAGCGGCCCTCCGCTGCATCCTGACGGCCCGCCGCTGCACCCTGCGGCCCCGCCACTGCGCCTGTCCCGGCTCCGCCACTGCACCCTGACGGCCCCGCCGTCCCCTGTCTCGGCCCCACCGCTGCACCCTGACGGCCCCGCCGTCCCTTGTCCCGGCCCCGCCACTACACTGCAGCCGAGCCGCCCAGCAGCAGCCGAGCCGCCCAACAGCAGCCGAGCCGCCCAGCAGCAGCCGAGCCGCCCAGCAGCAGCCGAGCCGCCCAGCAGCAGCCGAGCCGCCCAGCAGCAGCCGAACCGCCCAGCAGCAGCCGAGCCGCCCAGCAGCAGCCGAGCCGCCCGGTACCTGCGCCGCCCGAGCCGCCCGAGCCGCCCGAGCCGCCCGAGCCGCCTGAGCCGCCCGAGCAGCCCGAGCCGCCTGCTGCTGACCTACCCGACTCTCCCATCCCGGTGAGACTTTCAGCTGCTGCCATGGCCACCCCCAATGTTCTCACTTTTGACGCTGAGGGGAGGGCCATTGACTTTGCCGTCTGGATCGAGGACCTGCAGCTGTACTTACTGTGTGATGCGGTAGATGAGGTCTCTCTCTTTGACTTTGTCTCTGGCGCTGTCCCTGCCCCGCCTGCTGATGCTGACTCTGCCGTTCGCTCCAAGTGGGTGACCCGCGATGCTGCTGCACGTCTTGCTGTGCGTCGCCACCTCCCTTCCTCTGAGCGTGCCCACTTTAGTCAGTGCAAGACCGCTCAGGCCTTGTACGACGCTGTAGTTGCGCGCTACTCCTCCCCTTCCTCCGCTACCCTTAGCCGCCTCATGCTACCGTTTCTCTTCCCTGACCTCGCTTCCTTTCCCACTGTCGCTGACCTCGTTACCCACCTCCGCGCTAGTGACACCCGCTACCGCGCTGCCCTTCCTGCTGAGTTCCGCGCTGCGAACCCTCCTCCCATGTACATCACTCTCTACTTTCTCGTCACCCGTCTCCCTGAGTCCCTTCGTGTCGTTAGGGACCAGTTTCTCTCTGTCTGTCCCACCACTCTCACTGTCGACCTCCTTGAGGAGTCCCTGCTAGCGGCTGAGAAGAGTATTGTCGCTGTAGGGGCCTCTCGGGGTGACCCTCGCACCCCCATCTTTGAGGGGTGTGGTCCCTCCCCCCTGCTGCCCTCTGTCGCCTCTGCCGCTGCGGCCGACCTCGTTGGTTTTGAGTCGGTCGGCACGGCGTCTGCCCCCAGTGGCAGACGCCGCACTGGCAAGGGCAAGGGGGGCAAGGGAGCGGGTGGAGCCAGAGGGGGCGGTGGAGGAGGCGGTGGGGGTGGAGGGGGGAGTGGGGGTGGCGGGGGGGGTGGTGGCGGGAGTGGAGGTAGTAGTGGCAGCGGTGGAGGCGGAGGTGGCGGCGGAGGTGGTAGCGGAGGAGGCGGTGGGAGCGGTGGGAGCGACGGTCCTGGTGGGGGAGGTGGCGGTGGCGACGGGGGTGGCGGTGGAGGCGGGGGTGGCGGTGGAGGAGGGGGTCGGAGTGGCTCGTCCCAGCGGAGCAGCTCTGGGGGTGGTCAGCGCCAGCAGCAGCAGCAGCAGCAGCCGCAGCAGCAGCCGCAGCAGCAGCAGCGCTCTCGCACCGTCCCCGGCCCTCAGCAGCTCCGTGAGTGGTACTTGCAGCGTCAGCGCGGTGGTGCGCTTGGTCCCTGCCCCTACGTTCTTCGCACTGGTGACCGTGCAGGGGAGAGGTGTGGAGGCGCCCACACAGCCCGTCGCTGCTTTGGCCGCCTGACCGACGCCTGGCGTCAGCAGTTTCCGGAGGCCGCTGAGATCCCCCGCTGGGGAGAGCTGTCTAGGGCTGGTGTGGCTATTTATGATCTTGATTTTGATGCTATTCTCTCTGCTATGTATGCTGTGACTGGTAGTGATGAGGATGACTGTTACCGGTGTTTCCCGCCCGACCCGGGCATTGGTACTGCCGCGTCAGGTACTAGTGAGGCTGCTGCTCTAGGTGCCAGTGCGTCTGTGCTTTCAGGTACTGGTGAGTCCGCCCTCTCAGGTACTGTGTCCGCTTCGGCCTCTCACACCTTCACCCTTGACTCTGGAGCGTCTCGCTCCTTCTTTAGGGACCGCACCACTCTCACGCCGCTGAGTCGGCCTGTTGCGGTGTCCCTGGCGGACCCCTCTGGGGGGCCTGTCCTGTCTCGCTTCTCCACTGTCCTCCCGTGTCCGGCGGCCCCCTCTGGCACCCTGACTGGTCTCTACCTCCCCTCGTTCTCGACGAACTTGGTGAGTGGTGCTGACCTCCAGGATGCAGGTGTCCACCAGTTCACCCCTGCTCGTCAGCGGGTGACCCACTGTACGGAGGCGGATACAGGTCGCCACCTGGCTACGTTTACACGTCGGCCGGGGTCGAGCCTGTACACACTGACCACTGCTTCTCCTCCAGGTACTGCGTCTGGTAGGGCCCCTTCGTCTGGTCAGGTGTTTGCTGCAGCGTCCAGGTCTGGTCCTGAGTCTGCCCCTTGTTCGTGTCGTCGTCTGTCTCACGAGACCCTCCTCTGGCACCACCGCCTTGGCCACCCCTCTCTGCTTCGGCTCAGAGGCATGGCCTCGCGGGTCCTTGTGTCTGGTCTTCCCCGGTCCCTCCCTCCCCTTCCTCCGGGCCCTGGCCCTGCCTGTGTCCCCTGTGTCGAGGGGCGCCAGCGTGCTGCCCCTCACTCCTCCCAGTTTCCTCCGACAGAGGCCCCGTTGCAGACGCTTCACATGGACGTGTGGGGCCCAGCCCGCGTCCGTGGACAGGGTCAGGAGCGCTACTTCCTGCTGGTGGTTGACGACTACTCGCGTTACACCACAGTCTTCCCCTTGCGCAGCAAGGGTGAGGTCACTCAGGTGTTGATCGACTGGATCCGCGCAGCTCGTCTTCAGCTTCGGAGAAGCTTTGGCTCTGACTTCCCTGTCTTGCGTCTGCACTCGGACAGAGGCGGAGAGTTCTCCTCTGCCCTCCTGAGTGCCTACTGTCGTGTGCGAGGCATCCGTCAGACCTTCACGCTTCCGGACTCACCACAGCAGAATGGGATCGCTGAGCGCCGCATTGGCATGGTCATGGACGTCGCTCGTACGTCCATGATGCATGCGGCTGCTCCCCATTTTCTGTGGCCGTTTGCGGTCAGGTACGCTGCGCACCAGATCAACCTCCACCCCAGGGTCTCTCGACCGGAGACCTCCCCAGCTCTGTTGTGGACGGGGAAGGTTGGCGATGCGTCGGCGTTCCGGGTCTGGGGATCTCGGGCGTTTGTCCGCGACCTGTCTGCGGACAAGCTGTCCCCTCGTGCTTCTCCCTGCGTCTTCCTCGGGTTCCCCCCCGACGCCCCTGGGTGGCAGTTTTACCACCCCACCTCTCGACGTGTTCTGTCCTCCCAGGACGTCACGTTCGACGAGTCGGTACCCTACTACCGCCTCTTCCCCTACCGCACTCCGTCCCTCCCCCCACCCCCGCTCTTCTTGGTACCAGGTCCCCCCCCAGTAGTCCCCCTCCCCCCTCAGGGTCCTGCCCCTTCAGGTGTGTCTCATGTAGACGCTGTCGAGCCTGTCGAGGTCACTGGTGACTCCGGTGCTGCTGCGGGAGCTGAGCCTGGGGGTGCGGAGTCTAGGGGTGCTGAGCCTGGGGGTGCTGAGCCTGGGGGTGCGGAGTCTGGGGGTGCTGAGCCTGGGGGTGCTGTGCCTGGGGGTGCTGAGCCTGGGGGTGCTGTGCCTGGGGGTGCTGTGTCTGGGGGTACTGAGCCTGGGGGTGCTGAGCCTGGGGGTGCTGAGCCTGGAGGTGCCGAGCCTGGAGGTGCTGTGCCTGGGGGTGCTTCGTCTCGCCGGGAGCCGCTCTCTCCACAGGAGCTGCGTGAGTGGCTTGCCCGGCGCTGGAGGCGTGCCGCTGGTGCTGGTGGTTCTTCGGCTGCGGAGGGCGCTGCTGCCACGCGACCTGGCGGTGCTCGTCCTGTGGGTGCTGGAGCTGCTGGGTCTGAGGGTTCTCCTGGAGCTGGTCCTGCTGAGGACGTTGGCGCTGAGCCTGCGGTTGGTGGTCCGACTGACGGTGCTCCTGGTGCTGCTGCTGGAGGTTCTGGAGCTTCTAGTGGTTTTGCTGGAGGTGCTGCTGGAGTGGGTGCTCCGGCCGGAGCTGCTGGTTCTGTTCCTGCTGTTTCTGGCGTCGCCGCGCGGTCTCGACCGTACTTCGTTCCGCTCCTGGAGCAGGTTCTTGGTCTTGCTCCTCCTCCTCCTCCC